ATTTATAACCTACCTTCCAGAACATGGTTCTCAGGAGAGAACGCAATTGTTATAATATGAAATACCTGGAAACCACTTGGCAGAATATCTGCTATTCAGTTAATTAAAGCCAAATACAGCTAACTTGGAACTTTAAGCCTGTCAAAGCTTTTAAAAGCATTCTTTGGAAGAGGTAAATGATTTCCAGAAGAAATTGGCTCCATCTTTCTCTGTCTGTGATATGATGGACTGAAGTCAGAACATTTAATTATTTAGATTTTTTTAAATCCTCCTATTATTTTTTTAAATTAATCCAGACAGTAAACATACTTCTCCTCTTTTCCCCACCACAACAATCCTATGGGTGGGTTGAGCAGAGAATGATTGGCCCAAAGTAACCCAGCTGGCTTTCATGTCTAGAACTCATAGTCTCCAGGTTTCAAGCCTGACACCTTAATCGCTAGACTGAAGTGCTTCCTCCCCCCCTCTCTCCCCGGGCTGTTTCTCTCGAGTACATTGTCACCAGGGAGCCTTGGTGACACAGTGGTTCGAGTGCAGTACTGCAGGCCAGTTCTGCTGACTACCAGCTGTTTGCAATTTGGCAGTTCAAGTCCCACCAGGCTCAAGGTTGACTCAGCCATCCATCCTTCCGAGGTGGGTAAAATGAGGACCCAGATTGTTGGGGGCAATATGCTGACTCTGTAAAACTGCTTAGAGAAGGCTGTAAAGCATTATAAAGCGGTATATAAGTCTAAGTGCTATTGTTAATATGCCTGTTTTCCAACCACACTACCTCCCCTGCTTTCTCTTGTATAAAGTGTATCCTAATAGTAGTAGCATTTAGCATTTAGACTTATATACCGCTTCATAGTACTTTACATCCTTTTCTAAGCGGTTTACAGAGTCAGCATATTGCCCCCAACAATCTGGGTCCTCATTTTACCAACCTTGGAAGGATGGAAGGCTGAGTCAACCTTGAGCCAGTGAGAATCGAACTCCCAGCAGTCGGCAGATTTAGCCTGCAATACTACATTCTAACCATTGTGCCACCACGGCTCTAATCTAGTCTAGCAGAACATAACTTAATAGCCTCATGACCTAGTACAGGGGTGTAAAACTCGCATCGTCATGGAGGCATTATGTGATGTATCGGGTCGTTTTTTCCCTTCGCTAAATCGGGTGTGGGCGTGGCCAGCACATGACGCATATGGCCCGCGGGCCGTGAGTTTGACAGCCCTAGCCTAGTAGAACACAGCAATCTTTTCTTCCTTAGTCAAGATTACCAGGTCACTTGCAGAAGCCTTGAAGACTAAGAAAAGAAACAAATAAACCCCAACACAAACAAGAAAGAAAAACAAATGCAGGAATGGGGGGAGCAGCTAAGTGGAATGTATATGTTGTTTTTTTTGTGTGTGAGGGAAGAAGAAACATATATGGGACTTAGATCTGCCATTCACCAGAAACCAAGACCATTGTTTCGAAGAAATTAGCATAACCCTTCTAGCCAGAAGTTAAGCTCTCTTTTCACTAGGACTAGATTACTGCAGACTAAGGATTGGTTTGGGTTTAGGTTTATCAGTTTTCCATATTTTGTTCAACCATATCTGATATATCCAATTCCATTTACATTTGCAAATATTAAAACCATTTTTAAGAATTCCTTTTATATGCAATTGTGTGCATTTCTGTATTTGATTTTTTGAGCAAGGAACCACACTATAAAAGTCACAACACAGACCAAAGAAGAACTGTCTACATTCTATTTTTGCTGGGGTTAGCTTTGCATACATTTTTATATTTGTACAAGCATGTACATATTCACAGAATGCAGATATGTCCTGAGTTACAAGGGGACATGAGAAGCTAAAACTGTATTTGTTTGGTTTCTTTTCTTTCTTTTTTACTCTAAAGTGTTGAGGCCATCCATCGTCCAAGGACTCACTGTTTGATTTCACTTGTTAAATTGCTGCAGTGTGTTAGGCTGAGAGAGTTAGCAGTATATCGCTTCTGATGTGGACAACTTTAAAATGGGATTGAAGACATTTACCAAATAATTGCTGCCAGGATAATTTTTCAATCAAGATAATAATATTTCAGTGTTCTAGGCAGCCTGTCCCTGGGTATCAATTCTTGTTGAACATGAACAACTGCTCTCACACTGGTTGCGGGTTTTCCTTAGGAAACTCCATGTGTATTGAGTTGATGGATCAGAAACAGGAATGGCTGTGTCTGCTTGTTGACTTTACACACACACACACACACACAAACATACCCTTTTGAAGTGTTCTATGAGGGAGGGAGCCATTTCTTTTTGACATTTCTGAAGCCAGAAGGTTTCCACTTCCTGGTCTCATTTAAGAAACCTCTTCTCTATCTTGTTTTCAGCCTCCGGCCGCTTGACATTGAGTTCATGAGACGCTTGAGCAAAGTAGTTAACATTGTGCCTGTCATCGCCAAAGCAGACACATTAACCCTGGAGGAGAGGGACGCCTTCAAGCAAAGGGTAAGCAGGATGGGATGGGACAGGACCAGACCCTTCCTAGTTTTTCTGAGTCTCTTCCCACACTATCCCAGGGACCCAGCCCAGTTCTTGGGCCACAGTTCGGAGCAATCTTGACTAATAAGAGGAGGCCTTTATCAATTTCCAAGCACTATATGTGTTTCTCTTGTCTTGCTCTCTCTTCAGAGTGAGAAAATAGACTCAATGGCCCCTTCCATTTTGCAAATCTTGCTGCAGGTGAATTGTTATCATTGCTATGAAAGGACAAACTTACTACATGTGACTCAAGAATAATCTGTAGCTCTTCTCATTGCTTAAGTGTACCACCCACATGCCTGGCCCTGTTTGAAGGGATAAAACTCTGCTCTTATCCTGTTGAAGTTAACCATCCTGACTGTCTTTGTTTGCTTTGTTCTGAGCCTATCATTAATGGTTATATTGTTTAGTGCTGTTAAAGAGCTTCTGATTTGTTTAATTGTTGCATTACCCTTATGAACATGGAAAAAAAAAAGATGGCCTCTGGTTCTACCACAGATGCCAAAAATAACTTGGCTAGTCTTCAGTATTTTGCCCATTGACTTGACAGCCAAAAGGAAGTTACTCCCATTTTGGACCAGCCTACAAATGAATTACAGTTTGTCTGTAATTAAAAGGAAAAAGTTGAATCTTGGGACCAACACTGATGTTTTTGAGCGGATGGCTTAAAAGCCATAGCGTACTATCATCTCAGTGCACAAGAACTGTCTGGAGCTGCTGTAAACAACCTAAATCCAAGAGGCTCTATGAATATTGTGTATTTCTTTCCAGTGTTTGTCTAGTTAACTTTGTCTAGATAATGGTAAATGATAATACTTGACTGGTTGGTGTCATTACTCCAGTTTGTATCTCTTTCTTGGATGGCAGTGTATTCCAACCTCCCAGGTTATTTAAACATTATTTAAATTTCACACCTTAATTTTAGCAAAGTTGCCTTAGTCCATACTTTGAAGGTTCACTGTGGGTGATGTGACCAGATATGAAGGCCAATGCCATTCCTTTTTCTATAGCTCAGTCAATAAGAATCTTTTACTGGTTTAGCTGTCACAGTCTGATTATGTTCAGTGTTTTTTCTTCCTCTTAGATTACAGCAGATCTCCTTGCTAATGGCATAGATGTATATCCCCAGAAACAGTTTGATGAGGATTCTGAAGACCGATTAATAAATGAAAAATTTAGAGTAAGTATGTAAATCTCTTTTAATACACTTTTTGTTTGTGTCCCGTGATTTACAGCAGACGTTCAGGCTCCAAGAATTCTTCTCCATGATATTTAATCGTTTCTGTCTATTAGATTTCTGAATCATTCTTTAAAATCTGCAGGTTAGTTTATTTCCTTATGTTTGATGTAAAACTGATGTTGATTTAAGGGAACTTTCAATTAGGGATGCATTGAAACACACCAAAGTGAGCCTCAGGGAAGATCATAGAAGATATTTTCACAATTTTGGTTGAGAGGATGTCAGCCCTCCAAGGCAGATCAGAGTAGCAAATCAATGTCATGTAGATGAGTATGATTGGTATTGTAAAGCTATAATGAATTTCCCCTCTCCCTCTTACCTTTCTTTTATTTTGGGTGCACTAGGGAGGGATTTTTCTAAGATGTTTACTCACATAACATTCTTGACCTGACTTGGTAGAGGTTCTTCCTCCTGTCCTTCATGGCCATTTCCTCTGCCCTCTACATGGGGGGACCATCTAAGTTTTCTTTCAGAAATGTTTTATTGGCTTATTTATTTACACTGACTTTAGGACTACCCCAATCAACTGACTGTGCTGTACAACTTCCCAATATGTAATTGGGATTAAACCGTACAAATAAATATCAAATTAAAAATAACATGTAACTTTAAATTAGGAAATAGATGGTGAACTACTGCAGGTGAAAAAAGACTAATTAATTTATCCACAATGCCTAGTTCTGATTAGCAGTTTTGCTACCATATTGTTAATCCTTGGAAAATAAGTTTTTCTCTGAATTTACCATTTATTATCAGTACTTCACAAAAAAAGCTTAGTTTCTTGAAATAAAACCGCCTTATATTTAATTTGACTCTGAGCTTTTGTTAGTCCTCAGATATAGAACAACTTGTAGAAAGACCGGACCAAACCTAAGTGTCAGGATTCCGGCAGTTTCTCCAATTAAATCATGAGCCTCAAGCCACACTCCCAAAACTAAAAAAGATTTATTTGAAGTTAACATTCTATGTCTGGCATTAACCTGGGCATAGCCAACCCTGAGATACATAATTCACTGTCACCCTTGATCCTGCTTTCCCCCACCCCACCCCACCCCACCCCTCTGGGTGTATCATCCAACGAAAAACATCCATAGCCAAGAGTCATCAATCATGCTCTCCAATTAGATTTTTGTATGGCAGAAGCTTCAGTCATCTAATCAGTCTTTGAAGAAAATATGAATGGAATGTACTTTCGATTCCACACTGCTGCCTGCTCTTTGAACCCACCCCCTTTCTGTTGTCAACTATAAAATGTGTATACAAAATGTTTTATGAGTTGACACTAAGTCTCAAAAATAAAGTGGAAGAGGGGAGGACATAAAATACTTGCTTTAATTGTTTAATACATGCCTTGTTTAGTGCAGTGAAAAGTTGCCAGATTTTTTCACCCTCCATTTTGATCCTAACATTTTACTCTAGGAAATGATTCCATTTGCTGTGGTGGGCAGTGACCAAGAGTACCAGATTAATGGAAGACGAATTCTGGGAAGGAAAACAAAATGGGGCACAATTGAAGGTAAGAATTCCTGTTTATTGTCCATTATTGTGACTTTCGATTTGCTAAAGTAACATCTTCAATGCTCAAAGATGGCAATGTGTGCATCCCTTTTTGCAAGACCGTGTGCTCTGCTGCCCTCTGCTGGGTGGAATAAGAGTCATGTTTTATGGGTAAGGTTGCTCAGTGATTGCTTGAAAAGGGATTAAGAATTGTCAATAATAGGAGAAAACAGCTTTGATTTGTTGCTTCGTCAGAAAGCTCCACTACCTCATGTTTAATTCTATATCTCCACCCAAATTCTCAGCCTTTAGAAGTTGAAGAATTGCAAGATGCAAAAGGGAGATTTCCAGAATCCCAGCCTGGCCCAAAACTGTTGAAGGAAAATGGCTTCATGTCAGTGTTGAAATGAGACAGCATATCCTGAGACTTTCTGAAAGCACAAGAGAAGCTTTCTTGTGATTGATCACTGAGCAGTAGTAGCAGTCTTTGGAGAGTAGAGGAAAGATAGTTGTGGGTTGTAGCTTGGATCCACGTATGTTAGCTGCAAGTGGCAATCATTCTGGGTGCATGTAAACAATTAGAACCATTCTGTTGGCTAGATATTAGCCATTTAAAACCAAGTTATAATATAAAATTTTGCATTCAGGGGAGGACACAATTATGCTGTGAAAGACTCCATAAATACTGCTTTAAAGAGTGAGCAAAATAGCAAGCATGATCATTAAAAGAGCAGTGGCTGCAGTGGTTTCCCAGGGCATTTGGGTGATACCTTCTCTTCCAATCATTTCTCCCTTCTTTATTCTCTCTCCCTCTTTACATTTTATGTGAAGACTTGCCGTGTGATCTTAAGCACACGCAGCAGATTCAACAACCCCAGATTCAGTCTTCCATCACCCCTCTTCCCTCCCCTTCCCCTGTTTCCCTTCTGCTGAATTTTAAATTGCTAACTTTCACGGCAGAGACCCCTCCTTCAGTACGGGGAAGTGCCATGCAGACTATTAGCCAGGCTAATAGTCGGATTTAGTGGGATTTAATTCGTGCCCTGTAGAGATTTTAATATATTAAAACTGTCAGCTGTGGATCCAAATGAGTTGAAGATGATATTTCGGAGTAGCATCCCTTACCTCTCTCATTATTGACAGTAAACATTATTATAGTTATCCCATTTTCTGTAGCAGCTAATACAAACAATGCTGGAATTTCGCCTCACTGAGCGTCAAGCAAAGGAGACAAAGAAAGCATTATCCTTTTTTTTTCTTTTGTACTATGTGTTACGTTATTTTCTTGAATTGGATTGTGATTCTATTATGGCATTATGTACAGTAGAAAGATATATAGGTAATCAACAATTACTTAGCATAATACCAGAGGTGGTATTCAGCAGATTCTGACTAGTTCTGGAGAACCGGTAGTGGAAATTTTGAGTAGTTCAGAGACCCGGCAAATACCACCTCTGACTGGAGATTTTACAGTATCCTTCCCCTGTCACGCCCACCAAGCCATGCCCACAGAACCAGTAGTAAAAAAAATTGAATCCCACCACTGTTAACAACCATTTGAAGTTCCAATGGACCTACCTGGATCCCACACAGTCGCGTGACTGCAGTCTAGGTGCTCGGCAATCCTGACCACATTTTGCAATTATTTTTGCCCCAAATCAGCATTGACTTCCATTTTTCGCCAAAACCGTGTGCATAACAAACCATTGATTTGCTTAACCACCAGTGCAAAAAATACAAAAAATCAGGTTAGTAACATGAGTGACATATTTTATGAGCAATACAAATTACGACCATGATGGGCAGGCTCCATTACAATTGTAACTTGAGGAATATCTATGCTTTAATTCTCCTTGAAGATCATAAATAATCTTCCATCTTCCTTGAAACAGTTTTGAGAGTACAGGATTGAAAAAGTTTGCTAAACATACCTAAGCCCATTTAACTGACCAGGAATGGCAGAAACTTTTCCAACAATTGCTTTTAATACCTTTTGGCATTTCTGTGACAGCATATATTGCTTCTGCTACAAAGTTTGGGTGTTTATTTTTAAAATCCTGTGAAGGAGTCCCAAGTGTTAAAAGTTGAACTGCAAAAAAAAGGATTTCCTGCGTCAGAGGACTGGAATGGACAAGCAACCTAAAGCAAATAAAGTATTTTTTTATTTGAAAAGGGGGGGGGGGAGGAAAGGTATTTTAAGCCTTCTGCTTCCACCCTGTGGCCAGTTCTTGTATCTCATGAAACTAGCGAGGGTGTCGGAAGGCCAAAGTTTGTGATAGAGTGATTTTAGAAACATTTGAGAGGAAGAGCGAGAGGTACAGTCAATCATAAGACAATATAACTGGATCATTATGAAAGAAATCCTTCCAGCTGTTCTAGCATATTAGAATTAGGGAATCGCACTATGCTTAGTGCTGCAGATTCTTTATGAACTGAATGGTGTTTTGAACCCTGTGTTTGCTGTGGAATTTAGCAGGTAAAGAGTATATGCTAATTGTTTGCTCCTTCTTCTGTATTGACAGTTGAGAATACAACACACTGCGAGTTTGCTTACCTGCGAGATCTCCTGATCAGGTTGGTGGCAATTTCCTAAAAGGCAGTTTGGATGCGTCAAGGCAATTTACTTTTCAAACTGGGACTGTGGAGACCATTCCAGAGAGACCCTCCAGTCTGGCTTTGTTCCTACCAAAGTTGGAGATAGTGCATGTAACTCAAGATATGGTAGTGGGATTTGGTTTCACATATGTAGTCTGCCTGTTTCTGTATGTGTTGTCATCCATGACTTATGGCCTGCTACCCAGTGGTTTATTCAATAAAACTTGCTTAAAGGTTTGACTTAAAATATTGGTGTGTTAACAAGTCAAAATGTGCAAAAGGTATCCGACCCCATTTGTCAATTTATTGCAGTCTTACCAATTTTAAGAAACATGAAAATTTAACACATCTAATTTTCGTTTCTCCTGAAAATTCAAAAGATTCAAATGTGCGTATGGTAAAAAGATATGCTTTCTACTATTGTATTATGGATCTTCTTTTACATTCCAGTATAAAATTGGTTTTACCTCGCAACTTTGGACCTGAAGATCTCTCTCTCCTTTTCCTGTATTTTTTAAAAAATATTCTCTTCTCTTTTTCCTAGGACACACATGCAGAACATCAAAGACATTACTAGCAGCATCCATTTTGAAGCCTACAGAGTTAAGCGTTTAAATGAGAGCCAGAACGCACTCTCCAATGGTGTGGTTGACAAGGAAGAACTGGTGGCCAATGAAATGTAATACTCTGTAGTTGCCCCTCTCCCTTCCCTGTTCCGCCCTACTTTCTTTAAAACACGATCCTATGAATCCTTTGCTGGTGCCATTGTCCTTTTCTCTTTGCCAGTGGTATCCAGGCTGCTGATGTTAATTGACCAAATAACAGTGCTTTCCATAATAGACATTGCATCTTGCTCTTTCCCGGTCTCTATGATGTGAAACATCTCTCCTGTCCTTCCTTTTAGGATATAGTAATTAATTGTTCTAGGGACAGCAGCTTCAGGATGTACTCTCAACAGGTGGGACTTTTCTTGAGTTTTGATAGAATGGTGACCACTTTAGCATAGGTTCTTGACCAGGACTGGTCCATGTTGTTTCCTTGGAGCTAAGGAAGAGATTCTCAAACAATTATAGTAATTTGAGTTTCCTGAAACTGAGATGAGCAATGATTGAAATTTTCTTTTTCTGTCAATCGGGAATCAAGAGGTCTTTTTCACAGATTCCTGTGCTATTGAGTATCATTGGCCCAATTATTTGAAATGATTGCTAGTATTGTGCCAATCTAGTAAATATGAAGCATAGCTATGTTAATAAGAAAAGACAGTGCTATGCATTTCTTACTAAATGCTTCTACCATGCAGCTTCTGTTCCCAATTAAGCAATGGCATATCAGAACAACGTCGAAAGGGCAAAATCAGATCTGGACAGGGCAGCTTTTCTTTAGCAAATAGACTGGATGAATGCTCCACAGGATGATTTTCTTCACCATGAGTAGAAGATAATTAAAGAAGACTATTCTTTTCCTGCTTCAGATTGCCTTGGATTAATACAAATCTTTTGCAAGCCACTTGGTTTATCTAGTGCCAAAGTTTATTGTTTTCTAAACCTTGGGAAGAACAGGGAGTTCTTTCTGTTTTATTTCCAGTGTGGGTGGGTAGTTTTTTGTTTTTGCTTTATATATCTTAACTCCATCCATTTCAGATGAGATTTGTTATGACTAGGTATATTTTCAAAGGCGTGGTAGAGTGGATAAAAAGATGTATGATGATTGCATGGCACAATTCTACACAGCACTATACATTTCTTACTCCAGCATGCCTGATTTCTTCCTCCTTTTCCCTTAAAATGACAACAATAGTAGAGAGAGCAACAATAGTAGAGAGACTCAATAAAAACTGATGATCTGTTATGGTATAATATGGTGACTCTATTTTAAGAGTAATGCCATCTTTTGGAAACATAGATCATCCTGACTTTAAAAAGGCGCCTTTTTAAAAAAAATCTTCCTTAGCCCATCTCTGCCTTCATCAGGCCTGAAACCTCAAAACCTGTTGACTTTCTAGAAGTGAAGGGGTTCATCATATGTTTGATTTACACTTCTGTTTAAGCACTTTTGGTGTAAGATTTCCTTTGGTGGAAGTTCATATGCTTTGAAGACCCCAATAATTAATATTGTTGACCTTAGCTCCTTTTCTTCTTCTTCAAAATACTGAAGACATTCTTGAGAT